TATTGCGGTCGACCCAATACCTCATTATTTTTGACATTCGACACTTTATTATACACAATATAAAGGTCTTGAGGGGATGTCATATGCGACCAACGTGTACAAATAATAAATAAATAAAAAAATACAAGATAGGCCGACCGCAAAAACGATTATTTAATAAACGGTTCGATCATCATGTAAAAATAATCTCCTGTATATTTTTAACGTTTTCATTCTGTTCGAAACATTTTTATTAAATTCTTTTTTTTTTCCACGGTCTAGTGCACAAATGTGGTAAGTGCTTTTTCAAAAAATCGTTCAAGATTGCTTTTTGCAAATCTATTATGCCATATAAATTATATTATATGTATTCAATAAAGTTCTATAGTTCTATGTCGTCTAACATCGAGCAAGATTTGAAAATAAAATATATTAATATTAAATTATATCTTTTTAATTTTAATCATTTGTAAATTGTCCAACGGTGATAAATGAAACAAAGTAGGTAAAAATAAGTTTTACGGCGTTAGTAGGTATAATTAGTTATGACCGTTTGCAAGTACTTGATGTTATTATAATTTATGTTACTTAAAAGTTGTAGTGCCTATCGGTTGTTGGTTAGACGGAATAATTTGTCAATAGAACATGATTAAACGAGCTTTTCGAGTAGGTATACTTACTTAGAGATAACAAACTAGCTTATTCACGAAGGACAACAGCTAACGGAGGGCAGCCGCTCGTTTGGACACATGCCAAGACTTATAATCACAATACACAAGCATTTAAGGCCCTAAGACCAAAGTTTGTGTGTATACATAAATAATTATATGCATAAAATATTCTTAGTGAATGATGAAGGCGGTCTCGACGGCAAGACAGTTGACAATAATATATGCGGAGATAAAATAATCTCTTTGCCAGCACCGACGCGCTATTCCATTCTTCTGTCAAAACTTTAAATTGTCATAGTTTGTGTTTTATCTCTCTTTCTTACCCGCACAAGGCTTAAAAGGAGAACGCACGCTGAATTTACAAGCAAAACGGGTCTTTATGGATTCCTTTCAGACATCAAGTCAAGTGAGGTTATATTGTAAACGAATGGGGCAATATTGTAAATGCTATTATTTTTCACAAGAACATAATACTATCGTCTTGTCACTTGTGGTTGGATGTCAATCCAAAATTTGCGTGGACATTTAGCATCACGAAATCGGTCACGTTTAATAAGGGATAGCTGATAAGAGATTAGATTTAATCCAGATTTGATCGACAGGACGGGAGTGGAGTTGAGGGGCATTTATCAGCTGATAAGAGACAAAAATATCAGCTGATCACATGACATAATATTCATGATATAATTTTTTCAAGGGAGAGAGTGATTTTTTTTTAGATCTCATAAATAATTTTATTCAATTAAAAATAAATATTGCCGATTACTTTATTGGAAATATAATAATAAGTTTGCCCAATTCGTTTAAAATTACCCCAAATTATTGTTCAATTTATTTAATAATTTGTTTTTAGTTGTTCGAACAAGTTAGGCTAAGAGCTAAATTTAATTTAAATTATTCACTCCGAATGTTTGTCATTATATATTTAGTGTTTACCCGCTATTTTTACTCAGTTTTTGCGAATACCGTTAAGAGAGTACTATACAAACACAAGTGCCTTCCGTTGTAGTTTTTTGTGCAAGAAATGCGTGGGTAAAAGAAAATGATTTTACAAATTGTGTTTCAATTTTCAGGTAAACATGTTAAATCACCAACACAATGGCTTATGATAAAAAATAACTATTCAGTTTATCGCAGCGGGTCGAGTGCCCGGAATTTCTGACAAAAGAACGTTATTTTTGTTGAAAACTTTTCAATTCTATTTTCCAAGAAAAAAAAATGTCGGTTCAAAGACCAAAGTCAACGGTAATATTATAAGTTTTAAATCGCGTAGGTACCTATATCTACTGACTACAAAAGTATTGATGTTGTACACAAAAAAACCCCAAGTGCAGGACTAACGTTAGAAATGAAATAATGTTGCTTACTTACAAAACTGGCCGAGCCAACCCGGTTGGTTAGCATCTTATTAATTTTCAATGATGGCAAAAAATAAAATATGTAAATCATAATTATTATTATGATTCATGTACAAATTATTATATTATGGACTTTAATTGTTTGCGTCCGTTCAAGTTGACGGAAACGATAAAAGGTAACAATAGTGGTTTATTGAATAAAACCCATCAGGAGGACATGACGAAAACAATATTTTCAATATATTATTGCTATGCTAGTTTTTTTTATTGGGTATTACTATTTCTAGCTGTTTCAAAAACCGATGAAACAAAACTCAACAGGTAGATTACATGTTCGACTGACAAATATTTTATGACTGGAAACGCAATTCCGAAAAAAATGACCTCGAACCTTTTTAATATTACTATTTTTTTATGCCGCGTTTCACCTTTTTTGGGGTTTTTGATGATAGTTATAGGTATTTTACAAATGGGATGGACGGATCATGTGGTCCATGTGTTAATAGCAACGAGGTATGCAATATAAAATATTATAGGTAGGTAATATACTAAAAAAACAACTATAAAAAAAGCGGTGAGAACGTTCAAAGTATTGTTTTTTGTTTATAAAGTTTAAGCATTATATTAATATCATTAGTAGTAGCGGGGTTTTTTTTTTGGACGGTGTGCGAGTAAAAGAAAATATAAAGAAAGTCAAAAGAACCTGCTTTGGAAGAAGTAGGCTTTAACGTTTTTATTTCAACTCTTCACAACTTTTTAAACTTTTTTCGTGGTCGTTATTCCTTATTCAATATGAAATGTGTGTTGTCATTTACTTATATATATGGCTTAAAACTTGATTTTTCAGCATTTTTCTTTCAACACTGCGACTGTGAGAAGAAATAAAAGAAAATTCCTAAATGAGCTTACTACAAATCTGCATTATATAAACCAACAAACCCACTGTTTTTATTTTTAAAAAATGATGTTTTATATACGGTTAAAATTAAATAAATATTAATATAATATGTAATATTTTAAAAAACATATTGTTTTTTAGAGTGAGTTAAATAAGCTCATGCAAACAAAGACGAAGAAGATACGGTTAATTGGGGCAGATAAAAAAACTATAGTCTGTTGTATGCGCTGAAGATGGTAACATTGCTGCCTTAAAGTATTATGTTTTGTGGTTAAAGGTTTATTTAAATATTTTATAACATATAACCACAAGTTTTCTCCAGATTTTTTTTTAGTTTACCCAATAAACTGAATTATAGGAAAATCAAAATTTGTTTTTTTTTTTAATTTTAATTTTAATACTAAACGGTAGTCAACAATTGCCAAAGTCGTGTTTAAAATTCGTGCCAAAAAAAAAAAAATTGTCAACATTTTCAAACAACCTTTTTTTTAACCAGAGTCCTCCCTTTTATTGTATGTATTTGCGTTGTGCTTTAGGCAATAATTTAGGTATTTTCACTTTAGAATTTTGACCAAACGTAACAACGGTTTTGAAACGGTTTTTTTTCTAACAAAAAAATCCTGATTGAACTCATAATTTTCCAAAGGTTCCAACTTGTTCCAATGTCTTATGGGTAAAAGCTGGCGCAGTCCATTTATTATACACATGTATTGATTTTCATCTGTTCGTTTTGGCCTTCAGAGGATTCGCAAATTACAATTATTTTTTTTTGTTTCAGGTTTTTTTTGTTGTTGTTTAATTTGGCATACGACGCACTAATAATATTATTTAATTTTTTAGCGGTTAGGTCCGTGTAAATAATTTAAACCCGCGTCCGCTTAAGCCCTAAGCAAGACACTAATTTTTCGGAAAATAATTGCAATTTTGTAGTTTTTCTTTTTTGTTAATGTTTTTTTGCCAATATAAAAAAATTATAAAATTCCTAAATATTATTGTATACCTTTTTTCTAGTATTTTTTAGGGCTCTACCAATGTTTAAAACTTAAACGGTAACGTAGCCCGTATTTAATTAACTTAAATAAATTAAGAACGATTTGCTGACAATTTGACTGGTTATCGACCAGTGAAAATATTCAGCAAATTATTTTTAATCCAAAAAGTCAATTTAATATAATTGTTGCCGTTAAGTTTTAAAAGTCAAAGCTTTGGAAAAAAAACTGTACCATAGAAGTCAAGTAAAGCAAATCGCATAAAATACACAAAACGAGGTTATTTTAAAATCGGAATATTATCTTTTTTTATGATCTCTTCGATGTTATTACACCCGAAGTCCACTGTCCAGCATACCATAAATACATAGATAGCAAGAGGTACACTAAAGTAAGTCCTAAACTGTAGTAGGTGTAATATTATTTGTTTTATCTCTCTTGTAAATCTGTACTTTGTGATTTGCGTTACTCGACTTCTATGTGGTGTTGTCAAAAACAACATAAACCAAAATGAAATACTACAAAATTGCAATAATTATTTTAAAAGAAAATAATATACTGTGTGAGCGTTAAATTGATCACTCTGATACGTATTATAATATTCATTAGCCACAGCCGAAGAATCCGTTTTGCGCGCTCGTTTTTCATGGAATAAAAAAGAAACACTGATAATGATAATAATTAACGACGTTCCCGGGCCGCTTTCTATCGTGTTACAAACAATTCAAAAACAAATAAACATCGCTTATGGCTTATTAATATTATATGTGTATATATATATATATGTTATTGCGGTCGTTTTGGAAATTCGTCGAAACAGGGATAACACAAATGGCGTGGGGGGGGAGTGGAGTGGGTACACCTGCCGCAGTCGCAGCAGCAGCAGCAGCTGCCCGCCCGCGCGCCGACCTTGACACACCGCCGCCGCGGTTTTCTCTTCCATGAGCGGACCACCGGACAAAAAGGAAAACTGGCCTCTTCTGACTCACACGGAAATTATTGATTCGTCGCGGCGGCGGCGGCGGTTGGAAGGGAGCTGTAGTGGCGACGACGGCATAGACCACCCCACCGCGCCCCGTCGTCCGAGCGTGTATTATACTGTATTTTTCTATGTCAGTGCTCTCTCGTAGCTGTCCGTGTGCGCTCGTTGAATTGGTCGCGTTCCGTATCGCGTACTCCGCATTTGTGCGTTTTTTTTTTAAAAATTGTTTGTAACCAAAGGGTTGTACAGAGCGACCCTTGGGATTTTTTGTTCGACATTCCGACAAACTATACCGGTGCGTTTCGCGCGGACATTATTATGTGTTTTTGATCGGCCAGCGCACGCCTGATACGCTGTGGCCGCGGCCGTCTGACCTCATCCCCCGCCGAACAAACACGATCGCCTCCGCCGCCGATAACGAGTGCGATCCTCGTTAATAATAATTTTGTCGCGTGCAGCCCTCGAGTGCCCCGACTGGACGTGCCGAACGATGGGCCGCAAGACGTCGTTGGCCGCCACCGTCGGTTGGACGACCGTGCTGTTGTTGTCGGTTGTTGTCCCGCTGACAACGTGCTACGATCCCGTCGACACGGACGGTAAGTGCGGCGGCACATTCCTATGGTTATTTTTTTTTCACAGGTACCTCCTGACGCGTCGTCGTCGGGTCTTCGTGCGGGCCATCTGCCGCATTTATGGGTCTTGCGTTTCCCCCACCCCGTCTACCGTGTGTTGTTCTGCGGCGCGGCAGTCCGGAAGGAAATGCACATCGGATGCACCGAGCCGCCGATAGATTGCCGCTGTGGCGGATAACAAAAAAAAAAAAAAATAAATAAAACCGTCTTGTGATTTATGATAAACGGGCTTTATAGGTATTTAAGACGGTAGGCGTGTAGGACGCGGTCCAGACGGCGGTCTTCGTGTTTTGCTATGCATTCTGAGAAAACGAGGTAGAAAAAAAAACCAAAGAGAGAGAGAGAGAGAGAGGTTTCGTTTTTTTACCATCCAGTTTCTTATGTATAATGATTTTTTTTTCCTACGCGTTTTCGAGTCTCGTTAGTGTGTGTGTGTGTGTGGCTGTTGCCCGTTATCTGCGGCGGCGGCCACTGCAGTAATAATTTATTTATCTTGACGATTTTTTTTTTTTTTATGTACTTTTTTTTGCTCGCAAACACAATGGGCAATTTCGAGTGTACGCGTGATCTCGTCGCTGCTCGAACACTTAGCCCATTGTCTCTCGAGTGGCATTTCGTTTGTGCATGTCTGACAACCGATAAATCGAAAATTACCGTCCCGAAAAATCGGACGGAGGCACCCGACGATCTGCTGTTTCTCTCCGCTCTTGTTAAACGGGGCCAAAAAAAATTAATAAAAATGATTATGATTATTATGGACGTTTTTGTTATTATGCTTATGTAGCTTGTGTCGTCGTTATGACCTCATTTATTCATTTAAAAAAAAAAAAATTTTTACGAGACTCGAGCGACGATTCCTTTTGAGTTTGTTACCCGTTCTTGGCTGTATCGTTGTTTTTGTGTTTATCGGACACTTTGCAACTGGTTATTTATTCGGCATGTAATCATGTATTGGTTAGGGTTTCGTCGTTTTTGTGGATTTTAAGTATTTCATTGTAACAAAATAATTGATTGGGTTTCTTGGCGTTTATAATATATTGGTTAGGTGTTCTATTCGGGTTCAAAGCCCTGATAAAAAGTTACGCATCGTGTCGTGTTCACGTAAGATTTAGTCTTTCAGTGTTGCTCGTACGAATCGGACACAAGTAAATATATCGTGAGATTGTTTGGTATACACTTATATTATTTCGGTAACGATTAAAGCCCGATATAATAATTTTGGTTAATATTGGTGACAGGTTTGTAGTTTCTATGGGGTTAGGGTCCATCCGGGTTTGTACCGATCAAATTTGATCGCCAATTTATTGTTTACATTAAAGATAATATTATGGCTCATATTTGCATTTGGTCTAATACTAAATGCAGCGCGCAAACAAAATTAGTGTAAACACATCTATTGTTATTTACAATATTAATTGTTAAGTACACACACACGAATACCTCGACGAGCAAATAAACTTTAATTTTTCGTAATCGTACACAGTGTCTAGTAAAAGTCATGATGTTTATAATGACATGTGCACGATGTTCATCAAAACTGTATTTTTTTCTAACTATCAACTGTGATAAGTGGTTTTGAAGTTTGTTGTAGGTTACGGGGACTGATAAATTACTAGTTAGACGCATGCCGGTAATTTTCTAACACCCACTATTGATTACTAATGTCGTGCGTCGTGTATTGACAGCAGTGTAGTGTGGTGTATTTTATTTTTGGCATAGATTCAACAAGGGACTCGAAACGAGAATGTAAATAAAAGTAAATTCCTACCTAACCTAACCGACGGTGAGACGTGGTTATTTTTTTTTGCTTATTTCTGTTATTACTAATATAAGTGAAAACCTGAACAGTCAGCGTTCAGATTTTTGCATAGACTGTTCATTTTCAATGGATAAGTGTTGGGTTTCCTTTTATTGTAGTACCAGTACACAAACATTGTACTAATGAAAAAAAAAAAAAATGAAAACATATTGTACAACTTCTTTTATCAGTTAAACTATTGTGACGTTAATTCAAATAGTTATGAATTAAATATTAGATATATTGTGTGTGGGTTTCATTCAACTGGATTCTATTGTTTTGGTATAAGCGTAAAGATTCCATCATGGTAGTCGCCTAAACAATTGAATCGTCTTTTCAGTTAGGATATTTTATTCTTCGAAATCCGTTGTTAACAATGTTTGTGTCCTATGTACGACTTATGTTTAAATTAAATCGGAAGTTTTTGACTTAATATTTTAGAAAAGTATATATTTGTTTGAAAGCTATAATTTTGGCAATACGTACGATTAAAAGTTTTCGTTAATAAAAAAAATTTGTGGGTCATCCGATTTACAGTTTGGTTATAAATTAAAACACGACAGGATGAGGGAGTGGTCGAGAACCCATCAATTTAAAAGCTTCGTATTTAATTGCCAATAAATAAAAAAACACACTGTTGCTGTTGAAAGCAAAAATTAATTATCTTGTACACTGTCTTAATTTTATCGTAAACTTTTTCAAAATGTTTTGGGGTTTTGACTTATTTTTTGTACAAATAAAATTGTCTTCTACGGAAAAAACAATATGACAGCGATGTTCCGGGAATGGATATTCCATATTTGGGTTTTCATTAGGGAATTTTGAAATTATGATCTTAAACTTGCTCTATGAATGTTTGGAAAATTGCAAATTGATGTTGTATACATTTATTATTTAGGTACAGTTAATTAATTTAAATTTTCTAAGTTAAATGTTAATTTATCATAATATATATCGTGTATAAACTATATTGTATAATATTGCTCGCTAATCGTACGTTAATTATGAAAAACATTTGTATTTTAGTTTTGTTTCTATATTTTTTATACTGCTCACAAGATTTATAATACTTCTGAGCTTAGGTCGAGAATGTGACCTTGTAGCGTGTGTGACATGCCCATTTTATAATACATTATCTTAGCTCGTTGTGTATTCGTGTCGCATAATAATCCTCGATGACCTAATGCATAATTTTAGTAATTGCTCAATACCAACGCAATTACTGGATGCATTTATTCATTTAAAGGGTGATAATGTCTAAAAAAAAGCCTTTTGCCGATAATATGTAATTCTTTCGAAAATAATTGTCAAACGTTTAATCACATAGAAAGCCTTTGTCCGTACAAATATAACAAATTACTGTATCGATCGGTATAAGAGATGATAAACATTCATATAATAACCAAAAAATATGCAAATATTCGTCAAACGTAATGTTTTACGAGTCTTTCGAAAGAATTGTATAAATCGCTAACCGTGTACCAGGCTAACATTTTCGGTAAATATTGGTGAAGACGATTCTCGTTTTTTTTGGATTCCTACTTTGCTCAAGTTTTGGCTTTCTACTATTTTTACTTATTAAATAAATATTTTTTAAATTGTTCGATTATAAAAATTTTTGTTTTTTTTTATTTGTTCGTAGAAATCTATCCCAAGTTAGTAATAGAAGACAAGGATAAAGGATACCATGGTCTGGTGAAAGAAAATGAAACCCTAGTCGAAGTTGTACCAGAAATTTACGCTATCGGCGACGTTTGTAATTTTAATATCGTGAACAAACACCACGGGGAAGCTCCGTTCGAAGTAAGTGAATTTGTTTGTTTAGATATTACTACGATAAGGTTGAATTATTTTAATTTCCCAAACATAATGAAAATACTTAATCGTTCAATTGCGTTTATATTGTTGTAATAATATTGGTTAAATAGTACACTGTATAAGTGTACTGGGTATAATCTATCTATGACTAATGTGTATTTAATTTATCGTAACTAAGATAAAAGACAAATAAAAACTAAAGAATAGATTATTTTTTAATTTGGTTATCTTGAGTTCTATTTTTTTCTTTAAATTAAATCCTGAAGTGGTGGAAAATAAATTACTTAAAGATGTTAACACAATATTTTTAACATATTTTATAATAGCAAACCTTATTTCCCTCAACATTAATAAGATTTTTATATTTTTATGATTCACCATCTCGGAGGTTAAGCGAGCCATTAAGTATAGTTAACCTTTTTTTTATGAATGCGCTATTCTAAGACGAGTCATTAGTAGTTCATCGACATAAAGGGGAGATGGGATACTTTAATGATTATAAATTGTTAACAAATAGACAAATTTCTGTTGTCAGTCTGTTGGACTGTTTTCATAATATTTTTTCAAGAAAAATGTGAGAAATCGCTACTTTTAAAAGTTCATAAATGTCATAAAAAAATGTACTGTTTCAATTGGGCGTTAGGGTTATAATTTTTAAATTAATCTAAATTTATATTTTAAAAGAATTGTAATTAATTTCTCGAGTTAAGAAAAATAAATGAATCTATATTTAAATTAATCTAATTTTGTAATTGTAATTAAATTGATTACATTATGATTTGTGTAATAATCAATTGATCAAAATTTGGAATAAAAAATATTAGTCAGGACAAATAATCGGAAAATGTTTATATTAATGGTTAATGAGTTTAGTTTAAAAAATGATTGGCCGATTATTAATCATCATAACCGTTCATCGATTAACCATTTTGTTTCGATTAGATAAGATAAAAAAAAACAATCGTACTTACCTACTTTAGTGTTGTTATTTCTATATACATTTTATTTCGATTCTAGATTATTCTTCGACCCAATGGTTACGCAGAGCTTAGAGCCCGAAAAACTTTGAACTGTGAAAAACGCAAAACATACAAATTCGATATCGCTGCAGTCTCCTGTTCTGGTTTAGTATCTGAAAAGTATGTATGAATTTGTATATTAAAACAGAATTGACAAAAAGAAAAAACCCGAGCCAAAAAAATAAAACGCGGACTTTTTTTTTGTTTAAACCAAGCTTAAATCTTGGTTTTGTTGTTTACAATATAATTTTTTTTTGTTTAGTGTCACTGTTCATATCACTGTCGTGGACATCAATGAGTATGCACCTAGTTTCCTGGAGGCAGCCTACGTCAAAGAAGTGGACGAGGGCCGTTTGTACGAAGAAATCTTACGTGTCGAAGCGTCCGATCGCGATTGTACACCACGATTCGGTGACATTTGCAAGTACGAAATACTCAACAGCGATCAGCCATTCACAGTCAACAACGAGGGTATGTTTTCATAATAAACTCTAAAAAAATAATAACATCATTTTTCAATTATCTAATTTTTTTTTTTTTTTTTTAGGAAGCATCCGGAATATTGAACCTTTGGATTACGATCGCAGCCACAATTATATATTGCCAATAGTAGCGTACGACTGTGGTATGAAGCAATCTTTACCCGTCATGGTTACCATCAAAGTGAACCGTATCTGCAAACTCGGATGGAAAGGTAACATATCGTCATTGTCGTTGAGAAACATTTCATTAACATATACATGTGTATCGTACAGGCGTTCCAGAAGAAATAGAATATTCTCCGAGCTCAGGCCGTAAAGACTTGTTCCCTAACGCCCAGTTGAGACTCTGCGATGAGCCATGCCATGTAAAGAGTGTAAATGCTAAAATAACGCTAGCGACATCTCATATCGGGAAAGGTTGTGACCGTGACACTTATTCGGTCCAAAGCCAAAGGAAAATTTGTGGTATGGTTATAAAAAAAAAAATTTAGTCTTATTATTGTTGTAACATTTGCTGTAATGATTTTCCTGTTATTAGGTGCGAGTGATGAGAGCGTCGAACTATTGCCAGCCAACCGTGTACCGCTTTCGGCCGGAAACGCAATCAAACATGACGAGGGTCACGAATCTGATCAAATGTACGAGTTTGACGGAAGTAGTACGGCCGTCGCTATACCAAACGATGTTCTTGACCACGGTCTATCGTCGGCATTCACCATCTCTACTTGGATGAAACATAAGCCGATGCCACATCAAGATAAACACGTTAAAGAACACATCCTATGCTCTGCCGATGACCACAGTAAGTTTTGTCACTTATTAAAATGTTAAATAAATATTTATCGATACTTAACTGTACATTATGTAATACGTATATTATTTTGAACGTAGAAATGAACCGTCATCATTATGCTTGGTTTGTGCGTAACTGTCGCTTGATTTTGCTGTTGAGACGTGATTTTTCGCAAGGAGACCTGAACATTTTCAGACCGGCCGAATGGAGGTGGAAAATTCCACAAGTATGCGACAATGAGTGGCATCACTATGCTGTGTCGGTTCAATTCCCGACCGTTCAACTTTATATTGACGGAGTGCTCTTCAAACTTGAAAACAAAAACCCAGAAGTTATCGACGATTGGCCTCTGCATCCTACAAAGGGCATCAACACAACTCTGACCGTCGGAGCTTGTTGGCAAGGTATTAATAATGCACAATTAACAGTCGTGGTCGAAATTAGTATACTTTTTGTTGTCCATCAACACAACACGCAAGATAGACTCGAATAGAGATAAGACCTCTTAGTCGAGATTTCTATCAATTATAAAATCGTACTTAATAAAAAAAACTATTTGAAATTTTAGTTCATTTTAAAAGTTATTTTAAGTGAAAATCTGAGGCAAAAAAACAAAAAATCAGTTAATAAAATTGACTGTTAACACAATATTATGTTTAGGTTCTGAAAACAAAATGAAGCATCATCTCCGTGGTTATTTGGCCGGTTTATCTGTGCTATTGCACAAGTTAGAAAAACCTGAAGTACTAGCGTGCTTACACAAGTGTAAAGAGAGTTTGGAAGTACCCGCGATGGAATTATTGGAACCTGGAATGGAATTGCTCACCAACAGCGGTAATTTATTTTTATTGATTATATTGTAACCTTATTTTAAATACATGTGTTATTTTATTTAATGTGTTGCGATTCGTTTTACTAGAGTTAACTGAATTGTCCATCGAAGGAGATAACAAAACAAACTTGGAAGTTTTGGTGAGGAAAATCGGTTATTCAAACAGTCGAGACTATCCGACACCAGGAAGACGCAATCTTCACTTGATTACCACTTTGACGTACGTTATTACTTATTAATATTGTAACGCCTTAATAAATATTATGTTTTTTATAAAAAAAATTTTTATTTAGTTGCGATGGTGGTCACGAAATCAAAATGCCTCCTGCCGATAGCTACGTGATGGTTCACCGTCCACAGCAACCCAACATTGTTATTAACGGCACAAACACCATTCCCAGAGAGTATCACGAGTTCAGACAAGGCGTACAAGTGTTCCCCGACTTGGCCATCAGTGTTGAACCAGAAAGTTATGATTACGAAGCTAAATATCGTATGTGTCAAACATTTTTAAAAAAAAATATACATATTTGTTTTTTTTACGGATCATTATTGATTTCCAGCTGAACTGACCAATGTTTTGGAACGCCGTATTGATTCTTGTGTCATCTCCGTCTACCCGTCATTAAACCCCGACCACGAGACGCTAACTGTCCCCGCGGACATGTTAGCCAAATTTGGTATTTCAGCGAGAGCATCTAAAGACGGTATTGCGTTCAGCAACGCTGACATTATGTTCCATTACCAAGAAGCTTTACACGACGTGCGTTACACCAATTTCAAACCGGCTTATTACTTAAACCGTCAGTTCAAACTGGTGTGTTCTGAAATGAGCGGCCGATTTTTAAGCAACGAATACGTACAGACTGTGAGTGAATTATTCTTATGTCTGCGACTTAACAACACGAAGAGTAACAATGTTTCATTGTTATTTTACAGCTGACAGTAGTCCACCCGAGGTCTCCCACGACTCCTTTTACCAGTTCAACAGCCCAACCGACAACCAATTCACCTGCCGCCGCTTCATTAGTAGACGAAAACAATGCCGAACCGTTGCCGGCTCACGCTCAGATGGTTCAGCATTCGGTCGAAGCCAAACAAGCACAAACCATTATGGGTAATTACTTTGATGGGTCCGTGGATGATCACGCGCAAGCCATCGTCACCAGTGGAGGGCATGCCGTCACGATTATCATCGTCGTGTGTGTTGGATTTTTGGTGTTGATGATAACGCTGGGAATAGTACGCATTAAGGCCGCCCACCAGAAAGCAGCCCAGGACGAGGCCCAAGACACAGAAATGGCATGGGACGATTCTGCTCTTAACATCACTATTAATCCGATGGAAGTAAGTCGTATCAATATGACAGCCGTGCTTAGTTAAATGTGTTTATAGAAAAGTAGAATTTTTAAATTTTTATTCACTTTGCTAATTTGTTACTATTGTTTATTTTTATTGTCATGTTTGCTGTGTAGCAATTGGAATGCGACGGAGTTGTGTCCGGTGGAGGTGCGTTGTCTGTAGGCAAACAGACGCTCGCTGACAACGACGATGACTCGTCCGATGATAACATGAGCTATGACTACGACGATAGTTCGGACGACGGCGGCGGCAACGAAGAAGATGACAATCTCCACAGAGGCTGTCAGCCCCGTCTGGAATGGGATCACTCCACGATGTCCATCTAAGCCGAGAGTTGATTATCACAACGTCATGTGCACTAAGAAAACGACTTGCAAAACGCTTAACGTTTCTGGTTTCACACAGTGATTCTATTTTTTAATACTAAACAAAAATCACCCTTTTTTGCATATCTTTCGTAAACGCTTGACTACTGATACGCTTTAGTATTATTCAATATTCATTCATTAGGAGTATAACAAATTTAAAAAAAAAAAAAAATTAAAGAGTGGGGCATTGTTTATTTGTTGAAGGTTGATCGGACTTGTACTTAATTTTTCTGTCTTTTTTTTTTTTCTTATGCTCCAAATCTTCACGTCATTTTTTTAAATATTTTCTTTTACAATAATATATTTACATTCTTATTTTTTAATTTTTTTGTCAAAACCATTGTTTTACACACTGGTATATTATACTCTTTTTGTCGTTTATACAATTATCGTACTGACTGTGTTACCACGCAATTGTCATTTTTTTTTTTTTTTTTAATATTTAATATATTATAATAATTTATTTTTAAATAGTTTTACAAATTTTTATTTAAACGAACAATGCCCTAAAAAAACAAAGTTTACAATGCATTATCTTTTGCACTTTCCCCCAACCCCACTCTTTTCACTCTTAATTATTAGAGAGTAATTAAGACAAATATATATTAAAAATATTTTGGAAAAAGACTGTAAATATTGTAAAAAAAAAAAACTTAAAAGAAAAAAGTTAAAATTTCATTTGTGACGTGCCATTTTTTTTTTTTTAATTCAACTAATATTATTACGTTAAGTTGATTAGTTCTGGTCATTTTTATACCTGTTTATTCACTCTCTTGTCGATTTGTATTCTTCCTCCACGTACACCTTTTTCGATATTTTAATATGTGCACCGCTTGTCGTCGTTGTCTCGACTCTCGTGTAGCCGATTTCTTGCCTATATATTTCACGTAATGTTTCTGTTTATATATATTTGATACCGTCCAATTAGGTTTCCTCGTAAAGTTTTATTTTATTAACTAACAAGAAACAATATTATGATGGGACTGTAAAAGTGCAGTTTTAGTATTATCGGTTGTGCAATAAAGTTCTTATATATATATAATATTAATAAACATATTTTAACGTAATCGTGCACTTTGTCAAAAAATTTATCGGTAAAAATTATAAAACATGTTATACATTTTTTTTTTTTTTATATATAAACATAAATAATAAATCAAACGTGCGTGTGTGTGTGTTATGCGGACACGTACATGTAAATCTCGGATAAAGCCGATAAACTCATATCGCCGCGAAACAACACATCATTAGTGTCGTAAAAACAAGTAGACTACTCGCCGAAGTACATATTATATAAATATATAATCAAAAACCATTTACGGTTTACAATATAACGTACATTGTTATTCAATTTTAACATTTGTCTTACATATATATATATATATATTATACAATTAATAAGAACAAATTTATCATTACATTTATTTAAAAAAAAAAAACAAATATATTATATAATAAAAACAAATAATAAATGAATTAAAACGATTATATAAGATTATTTTTATGTAAATTTAGATTAAATCATAAGGTTAATATTAAACACTTAAAAATTTTAAAAGTATTAATATTATAACATCTTGCTTTGATATATATTTATATATATATATATGTATCATAAGATATTATTTTAACTAACTAGGGTGTAGGAAGAGAGTAAACCAGCAGTTAACGGTATTATTATTATTATTATTATTATTTATGTCCTCGAAGTGCTATTATCGTTTGGTTTTTTTTCTCAATTTATGTACTATGTATTTTTTTATCAACATTATTTTTAATTGTCAATCTATTCATCGCTAGACGAATACCGTTTAATCGTAATAATGAATTTTTCTTCCTATTTTATTATTATTATAATTATTTTTATTCAAAAGCTATATGTGCAATAATATTTGTTCAAAACATGTACCGTGTGTTTTTTAGAAATCGCAATGTTGTGACAAAACGAAAAAAAAAATTATATATACTTATAATGTATCTTTCTGCTATGAATAAAACACCTACACCTGTTAACTGGCAGTTTATATTATTTGTCTGCTTCCGATTTTCTCCGAGTTCTATCGTCTTGTCAAGCGATATCGTCTATCGCCGAACGAGTGAGAATCAAATATAATATGAAAGTACCTGAGAATTTTTTTTTTTTTTTACAGCTAATAAAATTATGTAAAAGTCTTGTGTACCGATTGTGATTTTAAACTTTTAGTTCCAGTATATTCTGTGTGTGTTGTCTGCGGACTATGAAAATATAATATGCTTTTGAGGTCTAAACAACAATGTGTTTGAAATTAATTACTGTTTTGACAAACATTTAGGATAGAACGGATGAGAACCTTTTTTACGGATAACGGCTATCGTCAACACTTGGGTACCTAATTAAAAACATAATGTGTTTTTAAAAATAGCTGTTTAATTACAAAAAAAATCGATGATACCATTGTATTAAGGACGTGAAAACGATTTTTTCAAACTTGGGCATTTTTTTAAAATTTTATTTCAAAAACAAATAACATAATATTACTTGAAATACATTTTATTTTATATTTAGTGCATCAAAATATCAACTTACCTAACCTATCCTAACCTAACCTGTCGGATAAAATCCCTTTCATACATTTGTGATTTGTAAATAATGATCTTGTTCAATTGTTTTGATGTCATTTGTTCTCAGAATGGAAGAACTGTAAAATAGCATCGATCACTTAACTACGGATGAACTTATTCCAAAACGTCTGACGAAATAATAGTTTTGTTGTAATTATTACAAAAATTATTAATTTGTTTCGACAAAATATTAAATTTATTATCGATATGATAATTATGTTGTTTACATTAAAATTAAAAATTTGTCCGATTTTAAACCTTGAATTCAATTACGCGTTAATAAGCGAAAATAATGCATATTTGAATAAATGTACACTAATTATCTTTTAATTAATTATCTATAAAAAAATATCATTTTTATTGCTATTACTATTTTCCAGTTAAAGTGTGAAGTCATGAAACTAGTTCAGTAATAGTAAAGGTTGAGGTTATTACTAAATTAAACTGTAGAGGTAAAATAACTAAAGAGTGAACCAGAATACGACACAGAAAACAAAGTTTGAAACCGTTTCTTTACCCAATTATTCTTTTCATATTAAACATGTGCCACTGATTCATACAAGTGGCTATAATTTCAAGTTTTATGTTAATTTCAGTGATTTTATGACTTTTCGGGTTTTACAAAGTAAAACAATTAAAATAAGTACAAAGTCTAATTCTTTAGAAAATTTTACATAGACGGTAGACTATTGATAAACGATTGTTCTGTTTTACACTAGTTTTGCGTTCAAGAAAAATACAAAAAGAACTCTTTAGGAAAAAAAAAACTGTATTTTTGATTGCTGATTACAAAATGTCATAGTAAACTAAAATTATATATCATTGAAATCGTTATATTCTGTAGTTTTTAACGGTATATTATTTATCAAAGTAACTATTTGCCCAAAGAACATTTATCAGCACAAACGGTTTAAATCTATAGATCCCAAAAATATGGATGGTTGATTTATCTAACGCGCAAGACACTCATTTTCTCTGAATTTTATGCTAAGTAGAGTAATTTTCATTCAATAATTGTGATTGAAATTTATTTAATGATAATTCGACACTTCTTAAACTGTGTAGGTATAAAATAAATACATAATCAATCCAAGTCAAGGAAAATTCATAGCCCTTTATAGTTTGATGGCATCTATTTCAACCACCATCTACAGGGCTTAAGTTTAAAGTAACATTGATGTTCCCTTAAACGAAAATGATACAAATAAGTAGTAGAATGGTAATAGTATTCTAAAAAAAACGTTTTAATGGAAAAAATAGTTCTGCCCATCTAGGGTATTTTTACAAGTGGCCTTCATATATGCCACAGTATGGATAATTTCCAAACAATTACAATAGTTCTGCGCGTCTGCTGTACGAATAAACGTGGTTTTCACAGAGGCCACTAAAATATTAAAGGGTTAAATTTACATTTTTGTATAATCTACTGGGTGATTGGTTAACTATGGACCAGTCAATAACTTGGAACATATTAGATTTTTTTTTTTATACTTTTATAGTTATTAGTTGGGACAAATTTAATATATTTTTTAAAACTATAACTCCGTCCCTAATATTATGTTAGAATGTTATAAACTTGAGTTTTTTTAAATGGTAACGTAAATATTTAATTATCTTTTTGAATTAAGAATAATTTGCTGAATATTTTGACTGGTCGATAGCCAGTTGTTGGATAATTAGTTTCATAGTTATTAAAGTTTAAAATTTATAGGACGGGAGAGGGTGGAGAGTACAGATGTTTTTATCTGCGCTCATTACTCAACCGCCCTTCCCCTCCTGTCATGGCTCTTAAACTTTAATAACTTTGAAACTAATTATCCAAAATTGGTTATCGACCAGTCAAAATATTCAGAAAATTATTCTTAATTCAAAAAATTAATCAAATATTTACGTTACCATTTAAAAAACTCAAGTTTAAACGATTTTAACATATAAGGTACGGAGTTATAGTTTTAAAAAAATATATTAAATTTGACCCAATTTTGATAGCTTAAAAATTATAAAAATAATTTTAAAAAGTCTAATATCTTCTAAGTTATTGACTGGTCCATAGTAGACCAATCACTCAGTATTTTATTGGAATAATATGTTTGATTAATTAAAAATATAAAATAACATTATAATATCTCACGCTTCACAGTTCCTAATGATTATGTTAATCTAGTTATAATAATATGATTAGTTGAATAAAGAATCATGAATTATTTATACTAAATTATCGTTTATATTATAAAATTCTTTAGTTTGAATTCTGTTGATGAAAATAAGTAAAAAACACCAATATAGTTGATAATTATCATATTTTCTTATAAACATACATTACATTTTACAATGTGAACTACACACAGTTGTTGTTCAGTGTATATTATGTAATTATAAAATAATATCTATTCGAACTTTAATTTTGTTCATTGCCACTGAATATTCGTAGGAGTGAGTAGGAAGGTATGGCACGAGAATATAAATGTTAGGAATTATTAAAAACCGAGTTAGTCGTCGTGTATAGCTGCCAAAAGTTGAATACAATATTAGAACTTTCTTCTTGCGGAAAATGAAATTCAACGATATGGTTTCGTTTCAGCAGGTAAAAAATTATTTTAACTTAACATTTCAATTATTACGACTAGGGATTAAAGTCAAAAAAAAAAATCCTCATACTTTTTGCTTCGATGTAAAGCGACGGTATTGGTTGTACCATGATGTGGGTTTTTTTTTGTCTGTGTACACTGTAACTTTTTTAAATACTGGACCAATTCCTTCGAATATCAAACCTAAAAATCACAAATTTGATCTAGTTTGTACTTTGGGGGGAGGGGGGGGGGGTAAAAGTTGAAAAAATTTACTTCTTCACAGTTAAAATTTGAAAAACGAAAAAAAAACCCAAACGAGTTTTTAAGAGATAGAACGATATGCAAATCAGTAGTTAGTATTTTCAAGCCAGTACAGTCCAAACCAAGCCCAGTGTAATCCAGCAAAGTTAGAAAGTATTAAATCGAGGTGCTGTATTTACCAATAAACATCAAAGCGTTTATTTGAAAGGGATTTTTTTTTAAATTTTATCACTTTTATTCATAACAACTCCTCCAAACCTGTGACCTCTCCGTCCCCTCGTCGCTTTGATTCCGTTATGCCTATATTCTACTGTACTAGTCCTCTCGGATAAAATCACTTTCAAATAAACGCTTTGATGCTTATTAATTGTAAATGCAATGCAATACTTTCTAACTTTGCTGGCCTACACTGTGCTTGGTTTGGACTGTACTGGCTTGAAAATACTAACTACTGATTTGCATCGAAGCGTTTTTCGGAATGTGATTTTATCACTTTCAGATTTAAAAATTCCTATAAACCTGTGACCTCCACGTCCCCACCATGCCCCGCCCGACCCCACTGTACTGTTTTTTTTTTAAATCATTGTTATTGATAAAATGATTACACTATAATAATTATACTATCTTCTTCGGATCTCTCTAAATTATCTATTATCTAATATATCTAAAATATAAAAGTTTGTATTAGCATTCGTAAAGAATAATCGTGTTTTTATTATAATTTTCATTTAATATATAATATTTTACTAACAGACAAAAATGGCCTTCGGACTTGATGAAAAGATACTATCTCTCGTTATGCAAGAATAAGAAAAAAAAAAATTAAAAAAAGTTGTTCAGCCGAGTCTGCAACCACGAAATAGCATTTTCATGTCTCGTTGAAGTACCGAATAAATTTAGAATAGTGGTGGAATTATAGATAATGATATAGTATACTAAGAAGCAGTAACAAGCTAGTATATTAAAACATCAACAAGTTTCTGGCTAATATTGTAGTGTTTAATATCTGGCTGAATACAATTCGCAGAGAATTTGGGCCATTGAACTATTTTGAATTTTCATTTAGCTCTAATTTAAACGTTGAACGTATAACATATATCTTATCTCCTATATCTTACCCTAATCTCCTACCCCTATCTCTCACCCCCCAACCCCCACCCCTATCTCCCACCCCTACCCCATCTCCGCGTGATAACGCTTTTTTCGTTATTAATTTTTGGTAACACTTTTTTCGGTTATGTGTCAGAGCTAAGACATGAAAATTACAAAAAAAACACTCATGGGTGTCTTACTATCAATATATATGGTTAAAAATCATTTTAACTTCCAATCCATGTATCACTACACATATATAGTAGTGATATTTTATTAAAGATGATCCGATTTTTTTTTTAACTATGTTTTATGTACATAATATAATCATTTAATTATAGCACTAAATTATATTTAACATAAATATTACCATGATAAAATATAAAAATAATAATTTATGAACTCAATATTTTCAGGTGTCGTGCATAATAAAAGATTTAAGCCAAACAAATAGCGTCGTTATACTTATAGCGGTAATACTATTTTTAGTAGTTCTATATTATAAAATAGTATACCGGAGAAGGACAACATTGGCAAATCGTATACCAGGTCCAGATGGATTGTTATTTTTGGGGCTGTTACCTGTTTTATTACGAGGACCTAAAAAGCTATGGATATATTTATTAAAAATTAGCAGAGAGTAATTCACGTCTATCTATTACATTTTATAACTCATTTCGTTTACTCAATTTCTAGTAATTTAAGAGCAACAATAAAATGCGTTCGTTGTCTTTGTAATACAGATACGAAAATACCTTATTCAAAGGATGGATTTTGAATCACTTGTACATATTTTCTAAAAATCCTGAAATCGTAGAAGCGGTTCTGACCAATCCGGATCTGTTCAAAAAATCTAGAGAATACAAAGTGTTAAACGAATCAATTATGGGCGATGGCATATTTTCAAGCAAGATATTTCACGAATGGAAAATGAACAGGTGAACTTTTATCTTATTTACCTATCATTACAATATTATAGAAAAACAAAACATAAAAAAATAATATATCTGGCGTCATTGTTTATAATGTCTCACCTGTGAAGTTACCTACCGCTATCGAATATCATTTTAATTTTGTGTCGATACTTATAGGAAATTGGTAGTTTCGGGGTTTAAATTTGCGATGCTCAAATCGTTCGTACCGATATTTTACGAGGAAGCTAAAGTCTTAAGCCAGGTGTTGTACGAGGAACAGTTAATCAATTCAAATGAATGTGAAATAAGCTGGGCAATCGGTATGGCGACTTTGGAGATGATCGGAAGAACCGCTTTGGGTGTAAACTTTAACGCACAGAAAAACGCCAAACACGTGTTTGTGGAGAATTTACATGTCATACTAAAGGTATTGTTTCAATGTTAAGACTTACTTTACAACTCACCGAGTATTTTACCGATGATGATGATGATTTTGAACTGCCACGTCAGCCTTTTGTTGTAAACGAGGATTTGTTTTTTTTAGGTTTGGGAATACCGAAACAGACACCCGTGGTTTCTGAACACGAGACTGTTTCAGTTGTCGTCGGTTAAACGTCAACATGACATTAGTCAGAGTAAAATTTACAATTTCATCGACGATTTGGTTCAGAGAAAAAGTACAGAATTGAAAAATAATAGTATAAACAGTCGAGGAAATCATAGCGAAGAGTGTATTGGCGTTAAACCTAAATCGTTTATTGAGATAATGCTCGAGAATGGACATCAGATGACGTTTAACCAATTACGGAATGAAATAATAACTGTTATGATTGGTTGGTGTTTTTTGATATTTTATGTCTATACTTTGGCACACAACCGGAAAAATCGACAGCTATAAAACCTAACGAAAATTTCTGATGATTTATCTGATAAGATAAGAGAGACAAGAGATAAGTGAGATGAGAGATAAGAGATAAGAGATAAAATGTCTCCCGTGGTCGCGGACTCGCACGCAAGCTGTTGTAAAGGGATGGGGATGGGATTGGTTTTTATAACAATATCAATTAATTTTTATAATCAATTCTACTATTAATAGAAATAAATTATCAGTTGTTAATCTACACCAAAAACGTTTGGTTTTCACATAGGCTTCTGGCAATTTTAAAAGTTTTATTTGGATAGAGTTGGCGGCATGTGCATTATATTTAAATGCATATTAAGAGAGATGTGTTTTTTTTTTAATATGATATTAGGAGGTCAAGACACGACAGCTATGGCGAACGCGTGTACAATATTTATGTTGGCTCATCATCAGGATGTACAAAATAAAGTAAACTATAGTATTAACTGTATTCAGTTTTGTAAAATATGTTTTACACATTATGGGTATTTTTGGTAACGAAAAAATTGTATATTATTTTACATTCTTGCTTATTGATAAATAGGTGTTGGAAGAGTTATTGGCAATATTTTCTTCTGGCGATCCGGATCGACCACCTGCCTATGAGGATTTACAAAAGATGGATTACTTGGAACGGGTAATTAAAGAAACTATGCGACATTACACCCCTCTTCCCATATTTGCCAGAAACGTTGAAAAGGAAACGCAGATTGGAGGCTATTTAATCCCCGAAGGTACGCAGATTGCCACGTTTGGTATTCTGGAAATGACCAAGTTAAGTAATTTTCGATAATATCTACAGGGTCGACGTTCACGATATTCCCTGCAATGTTACACTTGAATGCGGACATCTATCCGGAACCAGAAAAATTCAACCCGGACAACTTCTTGCCCGAAGCATGTCATAGTCGCCATCCGTATTCGTTTATTCCTTTCAGTGCTGGTTACAGGAATTGCCCTGGTATCAAATATGCAATGCTTCAAATGAAAACTGTCATCTCAACACTCATCCGGTCTTATCGTTTTCATCCGTCGGATAAGTGTCCCACGCCAAAAAATCTTCGTGTAATGTTTTCGACGACACTAAAGTTTGTTAAAGGGTGTTACGTTAAAATAGAACCGAGAACGTAATCAACCATCGAAGCAGGCTTTTCAACCAGAATTATTTAGATGTACCTGTTGGTTTTGGTTATTATTTTAGCATAGAAATTTGTTGCTGTTGTCTCGTCTTTGCTAATATTTTCTACCTAACCGTTTAAGCTGACTAAATATTCCCCCCCCCTCCCCGTTTTTTAGACATAATTTATGTTATGATTTATTATATTCTTCGTATTAATCTGTCTTTATTTGATATTGTAGTATTTTTTTTTTTTTGGCCTAAATGAGATGATATTGTGTAATAAAGAATAGAAAGGGTTTTTTGTTGCCAAAAACGTGGCGCTACTAATAAAGTTGATGTAAATGACTGTTAATAGTATGAAAAATGTCGAAATCCTTAAATAAACGGGTAATCTTTAAGTTCAACGTTAAGTTGTTTCATCTTAATTTGGTTTAAACTTATTGCCTTTCACGTGGATCAAAGTTGGACTTTGACTCTTTTCGTATCTCTAACTTCCACCACATGAGCTGACTGACAAACTGCTGATATAAAAGTAAATTTAGTTGCATATCCTTCCCATCGCAAGGCGCAACTACAAAATTAACAAACATTTTTTTTTTAATTTGACCATTTTTTTATAATGTTGCGTTTATTAATAAGAATATAAATCGAATCGAATCTTTCTCTTTTGGGAAAAACATAAGATCATTAATATGTCTTATAGCAGGCCATAAAACATATTACTGATCTTATGTCCTGATCTTGTCGTGTTTATCTATTTATATCAAGTAATTGTAAGTGACGGTTTATGAACTGAAGGGATGAAGAGGGGTGAATTTCAACTCCTAAATACTTATTAAACACTAAATATTTTACATCACAAGTCACATGTTTTGATTCTTGAGACAACATTTTTGTACAAGTGACAATAATTATACGTTTTTTTTAGCTAATATTTGTTCGTACATATAAAACGTGTAAATTATAAGCCCCCAGACTGCCACAGAGGAAATAAGAAAATATATTTTGTATTATCTCTGTAAATTTAATATCTAGAAATTTACTACCACAAACTGTAATTACCCTCTTTTTTCCCTTGAGAGGACGTCCTTCTATTTATTAAGGAGTTAGGTACAGGCGGTTTTTTATTTACAACATCTTAATTTAAACGTTAAACTATGATGTATATTTGTTAGCTCAGTAATTAGGACTCTTTTTTTTTTTTTTTGGTAGTTGATTTTTGGACTGAAAGTGATTTAAAAATGTTTTATTTAAAAAAGAAAATGTGTTTTTGTCTAAACATGCTGAGTAGAACACTGGCTTCATTTTGAAAAGGGGAGGATAGAGTCATAGGCGCAATTAGGGGGGGGCCTTAGGGGGTATTAGCAACCCAAATTTTAAAATAAGCACCCTCTAATATTTTTCGTGTTTATGTATTTAAACCTCTGCTTACGAAAATGTATTCAAATTCAAATTTAAATACCTGGAAAATGCAGAGCTCAAGCACCTTGAACTTTTTTTTTTATTGAAATTGCGCCTACGAATAGAGTAGAAAACTCCCACCCCTCTACTGATCCCTATCTCCTGATCTGTCTCACTTCCTAACATGCTTGAAGTGACACGAAAGTTAAGTTTGAAATGGAATTAATTGTTTGCCACTAGTGAGAGTTTTTTTTTTTTGGTGTTTTGTTTTTGGTTTTGAATGGAAATGGGTGATTTTTTGAAACAAGGTACCTTTTTGTTAGGAGTTCTGATCTATAGACTTGCTACACAAAAGAACCGGATTAGGCAACATCTTGGGACAAAACAAAAAAAAAAAATTAAAAAAAAAACCTCCTCGAATCTCAAACTGAAGCTCCTCGTGTGCAGACCGACAGAAAACGCATAATAATATTAGGGTATTAATGGTATATTTTACATTTTTTTTTTCAACCAGTTCTCTGATCGGCGGACGAATACATATTAAAATATAATATATCATAATATTATTATTATGTACCTGTAGACAACACACTAATCTCCCCATAGCCGTTTCAGTGCTGAAGAAATGAAAAATGGATTTTTCCAAATCGGCTGTCACGTCCAGTATAATATGAAATGCACGTCACCGGGCCGCAGGTAAGTTTTGGAACAGGTTTTGCTTTTAATATTTACATTTTAAATAACTTATCGTTTGGTCAAATATATTTGAATATATTTCGTCTAAATATACTTACACCGATTGAAAATACTCAAAAGTTAATTTTGTTTACAGTAAACCGATAACAATTGATAATAATATATATTATATTCAGCTAGCCGTTTAATGGTTATACGTCTGTTATAACAAATAATACTTAAATAGGTGTTTAAATATATATATTTAACATAAAAAGCACTTATTTTGTTATGGCAATAATAATGTGTAGTTTTTGTCCGGAAAAATGATAAACTGGAAATGATTTTTTTTATGCCTATTGATTATACATGTTAATTATTATTACATTATACCTATTTATGATTGAAAAGTGGTCAAATGCAAATGTTCACTTGTCGACAAACACATTTACAATTATAATTATTGACTAAAGTTGCTGTACAATTTATTAAGCAAGGCCATTATAATTATTAGTCAACGTTAAATCAATGCAAATTTTACCTACTATTTTTTTATCATTATTTCAATGGTTTTTTTTTTATACATTTTCGTTGAAAGTACGGGCTGTTTATTTTCAAAGGCAAAATATTACAGTCGATATTCTACATAAGTCGCTCCAAGATCTAGTTTTATCATACCGATTAATTTAAGCATCTAAAGTTATTTTTATGGTAAAATCTCTTTCTGGGGTAGATATTTATTGGACCGATTTCAGACAAATGTTTTGAAAGCTTAGGTACGGTTTTTTTTTTTTGAGGGTACTAAAAGTCTGTTTTTTTTTTTAGTATATTACTATTAAAATCAGTTGGATTTATTTAGAAAACCCTTAAAAAAAATATATATAAAATACATAATTAAAGAAAAAAACAAAATCGACCTCGCGGTAGCCTTGGAACAGCGAAGGTCTTAGACTTAAAAAGTATTACATTGGAAAATGTTGCATTTTAATATTTGTGTAAAATTTGAATTTTTCCTTCTACAAAAGTTGCTGTACTACGAATGTTGTCGATTTTTTTATTGATCTTTGTTGACTTTACCGAGTTTCGAGTAAAAAATACATTTAATTTAAGAAATCGAAAAACTCATTTGTCCAACAGCGGCAATTCTTATTTCTCGGAGAATCGCTGCTGGCTGGGCTGTTTCAGTACACAGACGGTGACAGTAAATATAAGTGTAGGTACCGAAAAAAACACCGGTCGTGGAGACCGAGGACACAATATTAATAATTATTAAACGCTATTGCCGCGTGGGGGATGAACACCGAGTGGGGTGGGGGGGGAGGAAGCGAGGGGTTTGGCGGCGTTTGTCGTGCGACCTCACCTGCTGCTGGCGCTGCTGTCCGCGGCATCGAACCACCGGCAACCGTCTTGGGCAGAGTGGTCTAGCCCCGTGTCTGTCAGTCGACCGTTTCCAATCGCCGGGCAAGGGTGTGTGCTAGTACACACACACACACACACGGTGACGTTAACCGCCGGCAAACGAACGAATAACACTTGCGTTGTGTTAAAGTTAGAAAAAAAATTAAAAATTGTAACCTCGGTTTTCTTCCGGCGACAACATACTGTCCGATAAACGACTAATTTTTTTAAATAAAACACAATTTTTTCGTGAGTAAAATAGAATTTTTGACGAGATACGCGACCAAAGTTCGAGAAACTTTTATCGCCGTTGAGAATATTTCCCATTCAAATCCGTCGAAATGCAAGACAGATTGGCCAGACAGACTTGTTTGCTGCAAGACGGACCGGCGGCCACCAACGAGGTAATTACATACTTAGATATTTTTTTTGTAAATTTTCACAAAGACAATAATAAGTAGGTAGTATTTAATAACCGTGTTTTTTTTTTTTTTTTTTTTTTATAACCGACGGAATTATTAGTTATTGTACGTTCGATTATTGATATTGGCTAATGCCAATTTTTTAAATCTTATTTTCTTTGATAGGTGCGCGGAAAAATTTGCATAATATTTTTCATTCGGTTAGCTTACAAATAACATATTGATTTACCGAATGGGAAAAAATAAATCAAAAATATTTCATCGGAAGAGCTGCTCGTACCAAAACCTTTTCGGTGTATTGAAATGATAATTATTATTTGTTTACCCCGGTAAAAATTCTGTTTTTTTTTTGTTGTTGTTAGAAAAAACACATTGAAGTACGCATAGATAATATTATTATTGACGGTTCTCTTGCGGTATTGATAAGTTATTTTTTTCATTTTTCCTTTTCCTCTGCATTTTTCTTTTTTTTTTTTTTAGTAATTGAAGTAGTGTTAGTCAATTTGAGTAGTGCCTAAGACATTGATAATTATTATTATTATTCAATTTTTTTTTTTTTTAATGCGATATAGTATATTATTTTATATCGACCTGACCCCACCGGCGCTGGTGTTGCGAACAAAACTCTTACAAAACTCTAATATTTCACGAATAACATGGGTGTAAATCGATTAGAGTTTTTAAACTTATATCGGTTTGATAGTTGCGAACAATACAAATAAACTACATTGTTATGGTATGGTGAGAGAAATACTTGTAAAGGCTGTACAACCACCACTACTACTACTACTACACCTAGCATCAGTATTTACTTATTGTAGTGTTAACACACACTCTGTGCACACATGGTGTTTTTAAGTAGGTCAAGTCTCCACTGTGTATGTACAACATTATTCTCCTTCGACGTGTACCTAATGTGTTTACATTATGTGCGATACACCGAGAAACCGTTTGAAAAGTTCCCTTATCCGTAATAATTTATTAGATTGTGTCACAACTCCGGAAAGTTTTCACACAGCAGCACTCTTAAAATATTTTCTTGTCCGTGTAAAATGTATAGGTGGTATTAGCTATACATACAGGGCGATTAATTGAGGACAAGACGCTCGCATTTT